AAGATCAGTAGTTATCAGAGGTTGTGTACAATAGAAAGCTTAAGAGAAAGCACAGTATATTTCTTGATGTATTGGAATTATTTTGTAAGATATTAAAACCATAGATACAAGATATTATACGTTTTGAATATCTGGTGAGATATAGTTCCAAAAGTAAATTTTAGTATAAACTGTGGAATTTGATAAATAATAATTTATAAGTAGTGACATGCTGATGGTAACAATACAATATAGTAATGTTAGATAATGATAAGGTTAGTTGTTTGTGCAGGCATAATAGGGGTACTGTATAGCAATTTTTTTTGCTTATCTTTTCTATAAACCTAAAACTGTTCTAAAGTAGTCCTTTAATGTTTTGAATTGAGATAGAATTCATCACTTTTCTCCTTATCTATATATGTGTATAAAAACATAAATACATAAAAACATAATCTGTTTAGTCTGTTTGGCTGGTGCTGTGTATGATTGCTTTACATTGGAGAAACAAACATGTTCACCATTAAGAGAAGCAAATTATCCTTAAATACATTAATTTCATTTTAAGAAATTGTTAAGTTTTCATCTTATAAAATCGAGATAATAAAACCTACCACAAAGCTAGTTGTATAAAGCCATTATTTTGCATTGGGTTGTGTTAGAGATACAATTCCAGAGAAATTCATTTATGTGAGACAATATTATGGTTAGTAATTTCTGTAGAGAAATACAAATCGTACTGTGGGGCTAAAGTCAAGATTTCATGCAAAAACATAATGAAATCCCAAAACTAGAAATGTAATAATTAAGTTCGTGGAAGGTGTCCTTTATTTTAGTGGTAGTAAGGAGTCTATGGAAGTCTAGAAATTTAAGTGAAGGGAAAACTGAAATGACTTAGAAATAATAACCAGGAACATTGTGATTGTTATTGAAGGAACTGCTATCTGATATCACTATAGAAATAGATTCTACAGAAATAAACAAACATGACTTGGGACAAATTGATGTCATATTTAGGACATTGAAGTTTTACTGAAATTTACACCCTTCATGACTAGAAGCAGGTAATGCATGTCTTTTAATAAAAGTGGTGGTAGTTGCTAGAATACTGAGGTATAATAGAAATGGTGTTAATTATAGCTTGTATTATGTTCTTGTTAACAGGAATGAGAAAATTCATTTTCATGATTTTTAAATCAGATTTATTTTTATTACCATATATGCATATCTTGCCCATGAATTTAATGAACCACATTGCTATAGAGTTGTATACTATTGGATTTTAATTTTATGTTTCTATCTTTAGCAAAGGGTTACCTTAAATCATTCAATATCGAAATATGCTTTGCATTTGTAACTGGCCTGTAATGTAAATATTAGCTTAGCATTCAAGGAACTACAGTCAATTGATAATTAATTATTTCAGATCAGGATCTAAAAGTGTGTCTTGTAAATCCTTCGTGGTTATTTGAAATATTTGTTGAATTGGATTTTAAAACTGTCAATTGACTGTTAAATTCTGCTTGCAGTTTGCACTTAGTTTGCATGTCGATTGACCTTTAAGTAAGCATGTTTCTTAATGTGTCCAGATGGTGTCTGGGTGATGCTGTAATATCATTTGAAAATGAAAAAAAGATTATTATACTCTTAAGGGAAGTACAAATTAAATCATATTAAAGCTTTTCAATAATAAAGGAAGACATTGAGAGCAGCTTTTAATCTAGAGTTTAATTTGTGACTAAAACACTGTGCACATAAACAAGAATCAAATTCTAAAATGATTTTGGATTTGTGGAGAATGTCTTTTAAGGTTATTGATGCTTATTATATGGAAAGTTAGGTAAAGGTTTTTAGGATAAAGTTGAATCCTAATTAATTATCATGTTATTAAATACTTTATCATGATAGCTTGAAATATATGATTAGTAGAGTATATAAGCACATGTATATGCAAATATTTCTTGTTAATGAAAAGTCATATGTCCCCCTCCTTTATAATTCTTTAGATAAGATTTAAAATGAGACAATCATGTTAACCGCCATTGAAATAATTTTTGGAGTAAAAAGGTTTTCTTTTTTTTTAATGTGTGTTTTTCTCTTCTATTTTTTTGAAAAGAAAAGAAACTTATCTTTTTTCATGTTACATACCAATCCCAGTTCCCACTCCTTCCCCTCCTCCCATTCCCTCGACTTTACCCCCTACCCTAACCCTCATCCACTCCTCAGAGAGGGTAAACACATTGCTTTGAGGAAGGACCAAGTATATCTAGACTGAGGTATCCCTCCAGGGAAATGGGTTTCAAAAAGCCAGTACAATCAGTAGGAATAAATCCTGGTTCCATTGCCAGTGTCCCAGAAGTCTGTACCAGCCAGACAACTGTCACCCACATTCAGAGGGTCTAGTTTAGTCATATGCTAGTTCCTTTCCTGTCTGGCCGGAGTTGGTGGTTTCCCATCAGCTCAGGTAAGCTGTTTCAATAGGTGTCCCCATCATGTTCTTGACCTCTTTGCTCTTATTCTCATTCATCCCTCTCTTCAACTAGACTTTGGGAGCTCAGTCCAGTGCTCCACTGTGTGTCTCTGCCTCTGTTTCCTCAGTTGCTGGATGAAGTTTCTATGATGACATTTAAGATAGTCATCAATCTGATGACAGGACAAGGCCAGTTAAGGGACCCTATCCACTATTGCTTAAGATCTTATCTTCAGTCATCCTTGTGGATTCCTAGGCATTTCTGTAGTGCCAGGTTTCTTACTAGCCCCATAATGGCTCCCTCAATCAAGATATCTCTTTCCTTGTTCTCCATCCTCTCCTTTTCCCATTTTGACTATCTCATCCCCTCAAGTTCTCCCCCGTCGCCTTATCCCCTCCTTCTCTCATTCTGCCTTCATTTTCCCCCCACCCCTATGCCACCAATTTTGTCAGGAGCTCTTGTCCCCAGACCCAGAAAGGTAAACATGGTATGTACACACTCATAAGTCGATACTAGCTGTAAAGGAAAGGATAATGAACCTATATCCACAATCCTAGATAAGCTAAATAACAAGGTGAACCCTAAGAGAAACATATATAGATCCCCTGGGAAGGGGAAATAGGCAAGTAATTTTGTGTGACTGTCTGGAAAATTCTACCTTAAGAATTTCCACATATAAGAGAGATCATGTGATCTTTATTTATTTAGTTTATTTCACTGAACATAATACTCTCCAGAATTATAAGTATTCGAGGAGATGAATATATTGAGTGTTTGTTGTCCACATTAAGTACATCATTATAATTTGACTTTGTACCCATAATTATATAAATATGTGTATATATAAATCTATAGTAAAATGTTTTAAAAGGAATTTCAGAAACAATAACTTCCAAATATTGTTGTAGATTACTAGAAATGTATTAGAAAGAAATTATAAATTGAAATAAAGACTTAATCTTACTATTCATTTGACAAAAAAAAATAATTACTTATACTAGGAAAGGTCCTTTTGAAGTCGATGTTGTTAGCCTAATGCTAAGACTTCTCTGATAATTTAATAATCCTAAGAAAAATCTTCTATACCTGATACATTCATCTACTAAATTCTTTCTAACATATATTTAAATGTTAGATGTTGTAAGTCAATACTCCTAGGAACCGTTAATATATCTTATCTGGTGTATAGTCACAACGATGTTTTTTTTTTCCCTTTTTCTTTGACTTTCAAAAATAATTTAAATTTCTTGGCTTCTTTTAGCCCTTGAGACGTTCTAGTGACTGCATCTTAAGGCTGTCTTCAACAGAAACACTGGGGTCAGGGGTATTTATTATTTAGGAAGTTTTTAAAATTACAATATTCACTTAAGTATTGAAAGAGCTTAAATTTGGTTGTTTTGCTGCTGTATGCTTTCAGTGTACTTCCTAATAGGTTTAAATCAACCATCAGACTCAGATTCAGAAGATAGACCTCAGTTAACTCACCACTTCTTACAGCCTCTATTTAAGTTGAATTTCATTTTAAAATTTTTGGTGAAATGTACGTATGCACAGAGTGGGAGAAAATTGTTTCCTGAATCACATGTTTGAATGATAGTATCATCACTAGTTATATTTTGATAAAATAGATATCAGTGTCTTCTGAAAACACTTTTTCTTACTCCCTTTTTGTTATGAAGTGAGAAGAAAAAAATGAAAGGGTGTCAGAGAAGAAAAACTAGATGTTAGTATTTTGTTATAGTAAGTAGGATCAGTATGAGTCCTGTCCATAATAATCTTTCCATAGCTCATAAAAATTGTTAAAAAGGTAATGATATATTAGAACATATGTGAAACAATATTGTTTTCTGAGCTTTACCCAAAATAAAAAGAGTTCTGTAGCAAAACGATTTGTAAATACATTTTTTTGTAGGTAAAATGCTAACATCCACATACTCTAACTATATCTTACATCTGTTCAATGATGGTTTTAAACTCTGCCAACATGAGAAGCAGTCCATAAACAACTATTTTAGTTTGTAACATTTTACCTAATGACATGTATGACTATCACGAGTAGAATGTGTAATATTGAGTTATTATTTAAGATGTCTAAAACTTATGAACATTATTTCAATTTACAGTATAAAGCATTGAAATCCTGCTAATCTTAAAAAACATTGACATTTACTATTACAATGGAAAGGAGTTTTTTTATTTTAGCATGATATTTATTCTTTATTAACAAAGATTTCAAAATCCAATTATAAGCATTTCTTTTATTAAAGCGTTATTTTCTTTAATAATATGAACCTTGGGTAATATGTATCTTGCCTTATTAACTCACCTAATAAATTTGTTAAAGAAATTGAAATAATAGGAAATATATGAACATAGAGAGATTTTTGACACATTTTAAAAATTGTAAAATCCTACTGATACAATTGATGGCACAAAGTGTTACTACCATATACTAAAACAACTATAAAATGCTAATAATAGTGAATAAAAATGCTTTGGAAAACGTTCTTCGTGTCATAATGTAACAACTTTAATGAACACTGTCTCTTTTAGGTCTGGATCTGCCATTTATGATGATGCCTCATCCCCTACTTCCAGTCAGCTTACCTCCTGCATCAGTTGCCATGGCAATGAATCAGATGAATCATCTCAATACTATTGCCAACATGGCTGCTGCAGCTCAGATTCACAGTCCACTCTCCAGAGCTGGTGCCTCTGTTATAAAGGTAGGAATCATTATTCTGAAGAAAACAAAGGTATTGATTATATACAAGCTTTGATAAATATCAGCAGTACCACTAAATCGTCAGTTATAACACATAGATTATTGATTCCACTACTGTGCAGTGATTTTTAATTTAGTTTCTTAATAGGCCTGCCATGTTTTGCTATTGTTTGGGTTTGTTTTCTTTCTACTGCCACAGATCTCTCTTTTATTCAAGTCTTATGTTTTGAAATCAAATGCACAGCGTATAGGATGTGCAGCCAAAGTAATCACAGGGTGGATGATTATGTAAAACACATTCTCATTTGTGGGATGAGGCTATGCAAAACCACTGTACATTTTTTTAAGTCTGAGAAAAAATTGTAAGGTATTTTTCACTGTACTTTAGTAATAGTCAGGCAGGCTTTGGTTCCATTTCTAGTTTGCCACTGATAGATCGAATGACCTGAATTACAATACTTCACACTCCTAAATGTATTTCTTCAATTGTAAACTGAAAATCACAGTAATTTTCTATCCTTTCTATCCATTGGATAGCTAGAGATAATATGAAAAATATTTGTTAGAATCAATACAACATGGCTGGTTAAATGGCTCAGTTGATAATGTGCTACCCCCCCCCAAGCATGAAGACCTTAGTTCAGATAACCAGCACCACGTAAAATAGCCAGCCATTTTTATGTAGCTTTGTCAACCAAGCTCTGACAGGGTAAAGATAGCCATATCTAAGGAGCATGGTGTCCAATCATTCTAGACTATAAGTGAGCACCTTATTCTGTGAGACACTGTTACAGAATGTAAGAGGAAAGAAACAGTGAAAGACAATTGATCACATGCCCTGAGCTACACAGGCAAATGCACACATGTGTATGCACATGTACAAATGCTTACACAATTATGCAAGCAGACTATATATTTATATGTATACATACATACATACATAAAAGGAAAAGCCCAACAAACATTAAGAAGTTATAATAATTTGTTAAACAGTTAAAAATCACATGTCATAATTTTTTAAAATTTTGTGGGAACTAGGTGATGAGAAACAAATCATATGTTATAATTACTACCGTTTCCTAATATTTTGACTCATCTTTTGTTCTTCTACTTCAAATAGCAAATAAACTATACTTTCTAATATGTATTTTCTTTTGATGAGGAGATGATATAAGTTTAGAGGATGTTCAGAGAGGAATCAATCAGGCAAGCCCATTAGTTAGTTCCTTCTCTTCATTTATTTAACAAATATAGTACCCCAAATATATATTGATCAGTAAAGGAAAAGGATAAGTTATACTTCCAAACATTCAAGAATTCACAGCCTAAATATGAGGTAAATGAGTACTCAAATTAACTTTTATTAAGACAAACTAATGGATAATATATGAAAATAGTCAAATAATAGAGGAATTCAGAGGAGACATAGATGAAATCAAATTTGAAGAAGAGGTGATATGATGTCAGGAAATCATTACAGTTGATGGACTTCAACTTGGAAAGTGATCATTTTTATAAAGTCTCATATATTTCAGTCCAATGGAAGTCTGTTTACTGTATGTAGCTCTGAATGTGTAGACTGTCTTATTTGTTTTTTTCACATAGTTTTATCTGAGAATTACAGTTGCTTTTCTAAAGAAAATGCCCAAAGATGTTACTTAAACAATTGAATAAATTTCTATTATTTTGAAACTGTATAGCTACTAATAAGAAACAATGTCACAAAAGTTAGGAAATTCTATTAAAATATAGAAAATTAGTAATATGATACCAAAGAGTAAGAAGGTACATTTTGAATGTTCATCTTTATTTTAAAAGAAATTGCTTGGAAAGAGCTTGTTTTTGTGAAGCACACAATTAAAGTTCAATATGTTATATTGTGTGGGCATTGGGCAAGCATACATGTTGAGATGTTTTATTATAATACTTGAGGATATAGAAACTGTTGTAATAAAACCATATTTCTTCATTTATATTCATAGAATAATTTCTGCTAGAAGTTTAACCAACTATGCTTAAATAAATGTTCCTCATAATTTTACAAAATGTCAAAATTAAATTCATCATTTGTCCAAACTATACATAATCATATATATTGACATTTATTATATGGAAATAAATGTTTTGAGTATGAAATTTGGCTTCTTTATGACAAATTTATTTTATTTTCAGTAATGTATCAGTGGCTTCCTTCATAAAAACCTCTTTATTAATTACTACAATCAATTTAAAATACAGATTAAATATAAACATTTGATATGTAAAATGAGGGAATAAGTTTCAAAAGGCCAGTGAGCTTAATTTTACTCAATTCATGAAAATTCACAAAATACTTGCTGAACTGTATATATTAATTTCCAGTTTATTCTCATCTCTATGTTTACAAACTGACCATAAGTTAATATGCTGTAATTGTCTCCAATTTTCAAGTTTCTTAAAATGAATACACATATGAATGTAGTAACAATTTATAAAAATGGAAACCATGAATTTGATAGCAATGAGTGTGTATGAGAGTTCTGGGAAGGATGAAGGGAAAGGAGAAATATTGTAATATTTTATAATCTCAAAATTAGAGCATTGAATGTTATGGGATAGAGACAAGTGTGATTTCCAGAATACACACACACACACACACACACACACACGCACACACACACACATACACACACAGACACACACATTATTTTCATCTTGTTACAATGCATGTTTGGCTTTTTGAATGCTCACAAATTGAGTTGTCCATGACATTTAGTGTACTCAAATATGAATGTCCTATGTGCTTAGTCAAATTACATTGAATATTTTATACAAATAAAAGAGCCTTAATTCCTATCATTGATTTACAAGTTCAGGTTTCTAGCTCTAATATTTGAGCTATTATTCAATAGCACACCTGGAAATCATCTCTCAAAAGCAAAACATGTTCTACTGACCTCACTCACACACACACACACACACACACACACACACACACCTTGAATTAAGTCAATTTCCATAACACAAAAATTCTCACCATGATTGATTCCATGCTCTCTAAAAGTAAAACAATTAAATTACATAGTATTTGACATTGACTTTGGAGGAATATGCTTCAAGAGAACATATTTGTCTTAAAGCTTTAAAAATATGAAATCTTTTGCAAACTAGCACTTCTAGGTTAATTTCTGAATGTTCCTTAAGCTTAACAGTAACAAACATTTCCAATCTGTTTGCCTATCCATTTGCAGAAAAACATAATATTAAAATTTTGCAATATCTTCAAAAAGGAATAAGCAGTTTGATTATGAATTTAATTTATACCTGGTCCTTTAACACAGAATGACCTCAATTTTGTAGATGGTTGGACACAATAGGATTTGAACCATTTTCTTCAATTTATATAAGTATTTCTACCATAGTGTGAGAAAGTTTCCTTCCTCCCAAAAGGGAAAAGAAATTATAGATGTGTTTTGAAGTTTTGGGCATATGAAAAGATTTTTTTATTGCTCTTAATCGATTTCTTCAGTTCTATGGACTTATTTTTTTAATAAATTTTAGCTTCACAGAATAATTCAACTATATCTCAGATAACTGACATAGTAGACACTTGCTATATGTTGCTGTTTCAATTAATCATAATGAATTCCAAAATTCCTCAGTTGCAATTAGTCTCAGTTTAATTAGTCAACAACTACATTTTATTTGTGGCTAATATATTAGAAAGTAAAAAACAAACAATATTTCAGTCATTACAGAAATGTTTATTAGCTTGAACTGCATTAACCTGTGTAGATAAAAAGTCCAAAATCATCAGTTATCTTTCAAAAATGAACAATAAGTCTATTTAAGAACAAAACTGGTAGCCTAATAAGATGTCTAAGCGAGTTGGATTTTTTTTATGCCAAGCCAGATTACCTAAATTCATTGACTAAGACCTGCATATTGGAAGGAGAGAACCAACCCTCTTTAGTTCTCTCCTGACCTCTCTACATGTTCTGTGGCACACACGTGTACAAAAACACACACAAGCACCACTCAACATATAAATGACCAAATAAATGGTTAAAAAAGAGCACATATCAACCTATGTATTTCAGTTAGCCTTGTGATTGTTCAGAAAGGAGAGTTTGCTGATTATTATTGCCTTTGTTATTGTCAGTTTGAACAGAGAGTAAACATAATTTAGTAATTTATTAATGTGTGCAAATTATTGTTTATCTCTGCCTTGTATTCTTCTTCTTGAGGACCTGTGAATTGTAGTTGGAATCTTCTTTGGGCCACCAACCACCTCCAAAATAAAGGCACAGTAACTTATCATTAATTATGAATGGCAGACCTTAGCTTCAGGTTGTCCCTCTAGCTCTTGTAAATGAACCTGTTTCTAATCAGCTACATTTTGCTATCAGGATTTTTACCTTTCTTTCATTTTGCATGCCCTACTTTCCTTCTTCTTTTGTGTCTAGCTGACTGGGCCCTGGTGTCTCCCTGACATCTCTTTTACTTCCTGGTCCCAAATTCCTCCACCTTCCTACTCTCAGCATGGGCATTCTGCCTATACCTTCTTCCTCAGTATTGCCACCATGTCACAGCAACAGTCATATGTTCTTAGGGTTTCTGCAGTAAACCACTCACTAAAAAAAGTACTTGGTCCCCAAAACTGATTGAAGCGGACAGAAATAGTAATTTTTGGACACAAATTCAAATGCCTAGAAGGAAATTTGACTGATATGTAACTTAATTTAATAGCAGCTCTTTCTTCATGGGGACCTATGATTACCCTACTCACAAGCTTTTGTTCTAGCTTACAGTGATAGACTAGAGTTATGTACTGTGAAATGGATTATGAATCTATTTAGAAAGATTTTCTTATAATTTTCTAAAATTCATGAAAGTTCCATCATTGTTATACCAACAGGCACATCTTATTTGACATTTTAACAGTGTATCACACAGAGTTTGCATTAGAACTATTGACAATAATTCTAGAAGAACAATACTGAAGAAATCTCTCTGTACTTT